TCTATGGCCCATTTATGGATTGCTGGCCAGTCTCAGTTGCATGGTGAGAAACCTGCAAAGATTTGTGAGGGGGGATTTTCTCCTTCCCCACACTATTTATTTTATCCCTCCTACTGACAACCCCCATATCCTCACCTTTCCCTGCTTCCTTCTCCCGTTACTACCTAAACAACCAACCTTTTACCTCTCCCCATCTTCAGCTACATTGATGATTTATTTTATACATTTAATACCTCAGCTTTCTCCACAATGAGAACCCAAAGCAGCCTACTACGTCATTGTCTTCCAGCCCTACACCAAGAGTGTGTGATTGCCCCAAGGTCATCCCGTAAGCTTCCATGGCAGAGAAAGAATTTGAACCTTGGGTCTCTCAGATCCTAGTCTTATTTTATACATTTAATACCTCAGCTTTCTCCAGAATGAGAACCCAAAGCAGCCTACGTCATTGTCTTCCAGCCCTCTGAGGTAGGCTACACGAAGAATGTGTGATTGCCCCAAGGTCATCCTGTAAGCTTCCATGGCAGAGAAAGGATCTGAACCTTGGGTCTCTCAGATCCTAGTCTGAAACGCTAACCCCTACACAACACTGGTGTCCATGGGGGAGCTGTTGTTCAACAGTATCAAGCACCAAGGCCTGGGTAAGTCATGCAAGTTGGGTGGTAGCTCCCAGCTCCCCTGTCTTTTACTGACAGAAACCAAGCCCAGAATGCTGGCGAAAATACTGTGGCGATGTCCACTGAGGGCAGCCATTTTGTAAAGCTACAGGCACTTCTTTTAACATTTGGTTTTTTTAAACCCCCAGTGTATTTTTTTTTAAAGATTTCAGATTCTTCTGCAAATCTGCGGCATATTTCAGGTTTGCAGAAAGACCTGTCTTTCTGTTCATTGCCCCAGTTGGAGATCAGCTGTAAGTCTGGGAGATCTCTAGAAAACCTAGTTGGAAGCGAAAGGCAGGAGGAGGGGGAAACTGCTGGCCCGCCCCTTCCCACCCCCGCTATGCCTCTGCAGCCGCTTCCTTACCGATCATCCAGTAGCTGATGCACGAAAAGATAATGGCTGGCATGGTCCTCATGGGGAGCAGGTCTCCAAACATCAGAGCAACGAAATAGGCCGACACGCGATAATAGCCACTGGTATACTGGTGGCTGTTGGGACAGAACAACAGGTTGTGGCTCACATGCTAGAAGGAGGTGCACATCAGGAGGTAAAGAACACCCCGTTTTTGTAAGAGATCATTCCATCCCACCAGACTCTTGGCCACGGCTGCTCTGCCTTAGCATGAGATTGAGGGGTGATCCGCACACATTACAAAGTCCACATAGCACAGGCATGTGGACTCTCAGAGATGCGTGCCTGGAGTTTTGCGCTGGGAACTCCACTTCCCAAGCATGTTTGGGGAGCTAGCTTGGTTTGAATTGGGATCACACTGCTTAGACAGAGAAAAAGAAGAAGAGATTGGATTCATACCCCGCCTTTCACTCGGAGTCTCAGAGTGGCTTAAAGTCTTCTTCCCTTCCTCTCCCCACAATAGACGCCCTATAAGGTAGGGGGGGCGGCTGAGAGAGCTCTGAGAGGACTGCTCTTGAGAGACCAGCTCTGAGAGAGCTTGTGACTGACCCAAGGGGCAGGCGGAGAGTTTAAAAGTGCATATGTTGGTGCATATAAAAGTGCATATAAAAGTGGTATGTTGAATATTATGTATTTTAATGTATTTTATGTTTTTATTGGAAGCCGCCCTGAGCCTGCTTGCGGGGAGGGCGGGGTATAAGTTTGAGAAAATAAATAAATAAATAAGCAAAAAATTTTTAAAAAGAAAGAAAGAAAGGGTGGGGGGGGGGGGGAAGAAGAAGAAGGGAAAAACACTTCCAGGTCTATCTTATGTAATATGGACATATTCAATAAAAAGATATTTGGGTTTTTTTCTGATGGAAAAAAACTTCTATGAAATATTTTCTCTTTTAAAATGAGTAAAATGCTTCTTAAGGCACAGGTTTTCATAGTAAAATGTGTAGCATCCAAAAGTCTGAGGACTTCTTCAGTTTCGCCAATGGAATACTTGGGCAATGTGGGACAAGTGCTGAAAAACCACACAATGAAATATAAAAAAGAAAAAGAAAAAGAAAAAACACAAAATTCAGCAACTAAATAGAATTTTTTTAAAAGAAAGAAAAAATGGTATACATAAAGACAAAAACATAACAACAGCGGCGGCCGACTGACAGGTTTTCATAGTAAAGTTTCTATAAAAAGTTTCCAAATGTCTAAAAATAAATCCATATTCCATTGTTGTCTTTAAGACATGCATTCAAATATTGATGGTCTCAACCCATTGATTCACCAGAGACAGGCATTTATCTCCAGTGTTGTATGATGAGTCTTTTAGCCTCAGGGGCACGGCAAGTCCATTTCTGTTGACCATCGGTTAGCCTCCAAGAGTTGAGCTGCCATTCCCCGGATGGGGGCGGGGGATTCCCTGGTTTTGTGGGCTTCTGCCCAGCTGGCAGATTGGGAGGAAATTCCCCCCCAAACAGCGACGCCAGAATAAACACGACGTGGCCTACATCACCCAGAAGCGACGTAGGAATTTTTGGGCTAAACTCTATAGTTCGCAGCTGTATTTCCAACAGATCTGGCAGCCCTATCCAAGGGGCAGGCGGAGAGTTTAAAAGTGCATAAGCATCCTCAAAAAATCAAAGAACATTTTAATACAAAATTGATATAACTTCTTCCCAGGAAAAAATAAATGACTGGACATGCCCAAAGCATATGTTTAAGGGATGCATCCTGTGAGTTGCAGCACCCACAGTTACTCGTTCATTTGTTACAGAGTCGCTAGTGTGTCCAGTACCCTGTTTCCCCGAAAATAAGACCTACCCCAAAAATAAGCCCTAGCAGGATTTCTATGCATTTGTGGTATAAGCCCTAGTGTGTCTTCTTGAGAAAAAATAAATAGAAGACAGTGTCTTATTTTCGGGGAAACACGGTATATCTAAAATATAGTTTTTTGTGCACTTCGATGTTAGACGTTGCTCGTGGGGGGGGGGGGAGAGCGAGAGAACGAGAGAGCGCAGGTATAAAAGTGAAGGCTATATCCTATTGCTTTGGCAAAACTAGGCGATCAAGCTTCTTTTTCCAGTCATTCCCAGGACTTTGCATATTATTAACTGATATCAAATACTTATAGACAAATATTATAGGTTTCATTTTCTGCACTGATTCAATTAGAGCTTCCACTCCACAGGGCCATGTTTAGATACCAACAGAGGCTGCAGTTGTAAATACTGCTGTCCAACGGAAGTTGGCAAGTCATATCTGGACCTCAGCTGGGAAAATGACAAAAACTCATTATGTATCAATTGGTCCGATTCCCGTTGGGCCAAGCCTTCCAGAAAAAAGAGTTCTTCTCGATTTTTATGTCTGGATTGTCCCATAATGTTAATTTAGCATGCAAAACATTTCCTTGTGAGAAGGATTGAGACTTACATAAACAATTTCTTATCCCTGATGAATAGCTCGATGGAAGACACACTGGAGAAGCATTGGTTTGTGGTTACAAAAAACAACGATCCAACTCTGAAAGAGAGAACCAAAATGGAGTCAAACGCCACCATGAGTCTCCTTAGAAATACATCTGTTCTGTGCCAAAATGTCCTCAAATTTCCGCAGTGGGGACCCAAGCAGAAGGGAAACAACCTCAGCAGGGTATAATGACACAGAGTCTACCCTGCAAAGGGTAAGTAATTGTTATTGTACCAGTTAATTGGGGGGGTTGTTCTAGCTAGGGTTCTAATTGATCGTTGTTTAAGCTGTCCAATTAATTGGGGGTTGGATTTACTTAGGGGCTGGCATCAATTATTACGAGTTAGGGTTCTATGTAAGGATATACAATTAATACTTAAGGGTACTAACAGCCCTATTCCCTGGTAAAATATTAGCTTTAGTAAATATGCCATTAATCCTCAGCCTTTATGTAGCTCACTGGCTGGGAAAGTAGGATTAGATGTAACAAAATTAGAAAAATAGAAAAAGAGGCAATCAGAAGCTATACAATTAATGTTAGGGCTGCAAGAGTGGGATTAGAATAGACCCTATTGTACCAGATAAGGAATAGTCAGCAGTTAATTATAAACAGGTTGTTTTCCATCAAATAGTAGCAGCACGTAGTAAACTGGAAGATCGGCCAACTAAACAGGTGAATCTGTGGTTGAAGCCGAGTGCAGCCAACGAAGATCACCAAGGTAGTAATGGCCAGGCAGGGACTTCCAGTACTCTTGGGGAGAGGAAGGTACAGCGGTGGGACCAGGCGGAGATGGAAGGGAAGGGGG